AATGCTAATAGAGTATGAGGGATAATCAAAGGAATTATAAAGGAATTGTAAAAGGATAAGGGTAATTAAAAGGGTAAGGTAATTATTAACTTCGCTTGTCTTTGTTATTGTAGAATCTTGGTGATGCGGCGCGGTTTAATCTCGATGGGCAAGATGTAGGTACGTGTATGCTTATGGTGTTGGAGTACATGCTAACCACGTCTTGTTTCTTTGGTAGGTTATGCCGTTGCCGTTACGCGACCAATCGCGATGATCAGCGAGGATCGCGGGTTCGTCAACGTCGGTCTTGATGCGGCTTCGTTGGTTGGTTCGGCGGTGATAAGCTCTTCTGTGGACTTCTCTTTCTCCTTTCCGTCGTCGTCTATGTCGTACTGCTGGTGGTGGTGGTATCATTATCGTCGGGGGAGCGTGATCGTGATAATGGCCATGACAGCTTCTCGGCATTCACATCGGAGCTGTCATGCCGTTGCAGGTGGGTTCTTACAGAGTTTGGGTTGGGGAGTGTCTGATTCAACTCTTCCACCGGTACGTTGATAACTAAAACCGCTTTTATTGAATAATCCGTCATTTTTGTCATCATATCGCAACGCGTTGGTTGTAATTGTGTCACTCTTATTAGATGGATCTGATGCGACTCGTTAAACATGTATTTGATATCTGGACGGTCTGATGGTTCATGCTTTCTTGATGGTGTAGCCTCTTCCAACGGTGCTAGTTAGGTTTGTCTTCTTCGTATTGGTGGCGGTGTTCGCGATTTCTTGTGGGGGAACGCGGAATCGTGATCATGATCGTGATCACGATTATGGCAGCATTCCGGTGTTTGATCTTCGGAGCTATCATCATTTTTGTCTTCTCTTTCTTCTTTCCGTCGGAGCCTTGGTCGCGTTGTGCTTCGTCGTTTGCGGCGTATAGGTCTTTTCATGATTAGAGGGCGATCGTGATCGTGATCTTGATCATGATGGCATTTCGGCGTTTCTAGTCGTCGGTCTTGGTGAATTTCAGGTACGTTGCGGCGTTTTCTTTCTTTTGCGGCGTTCTACCATTGGCTTCTAACTCTCTTCCTTACCAGTCTTTCCCTAGCCCCATGCTTCACATTCGATTCGCCATCCGCGGGTTCTCCTTGACCCTTGGCGATATCCATCGTCCCTCGCATGTGCTACCGGAGTCTCGTCGGTAAGTTTGGTTCTTTGCCTTTGGTTTCTTTGCCGTTCTTCTCTTTACAGACGGTCCTCCTTTCTTTAGGTACTCGTCTGTAGCTTCTTTCGGCGTCGCGACTTTCGTGATCGTCGGCACCCCGGTATGACCTTCGGGCCGACGATTTGTTGAGAGGTAAGCGGTCTCTTTCCTCTCTTTCTTTTTAGATTGTGTGCGGCCATCATTATTGAATCGCGTTCGACCGTACTTCCCTAGGGATCTCTTTTACCCATAGGTTGTGAAGCACTCATCGTTCGGGTAGTGCTTTCGTCGGTGATTCCATCGTCTTGCACCGTTTTAGGAACCTTGTTGTACGTCCATATTTACTGTTCCTATTCATGTTCTTGGCTTCTTTTTTTGTCTTTATGTGGACGACTAATACTGAATCAGCGTCGTCCCTCTCTTCACCGTTCTAGGTCGTGGCTCCGGCATTTCTCCA